GCCACTGCACTCCAGTCTGGGCAATCAGAGTGAGACTCCATCTAAAAAAAAAAAAAAAAAAGAAAGAAAGGGACCTCAAGATTATCCTCTGAACACTTAGCCTGTGTTCCCTGGTTTGAGGGGTCCAGAAATGGGAACCTGATTCTCACTTGGAAAACCTTATGGCCAACCCTGACCGGAGGTGTCATTGGGAACAAAGGAAAGCAGGTTGTGCTGAAGGAGGGCACGTGTCCCTAATGGTGGCCAGAGAGTTGGGTGCCTCTGTGGGCTGGAGTAGACACCTGGACACACCCGTTCATGACAGCAACTACATTTCTTTTCTTTCTTTTTTTTTTTTTTAGATTAGAAAATATAGTTTATTCAAAAGTAAATTAGAGAGAGAGAAAATCGAAGATTCACTTCCCCAAGGGAGGGGAGGGGCCAAAACTTAGGAAAACATGGCCTAGTCATAGCTCAAAGAGCACATGGCCACACCATAGCTTAGCAAGACAATGGCAAATCTACATTTCTTAACAAATGAAATGAGAACACCTGTTTTGCCCACCTCCCAAATGCTCTGTGGGAATGTGCTTGGTGGAATAAGTATTGCTAACCTCCCAAGTAAGCAATTTGCCTTTTCACTGGGCAGTTTCTTGAACACAGACACGAAAAATACTCTAGAAGATGCAGACTCTAATTCAACCTCTGTGGCTCTAATATTGTCACCTTTGATGGTGAGTAAATGTCTTTCATCCCTCAGAGAAGGATCTAGTATGGCTCAACAGAACAACTGAGTTATGGCTGGCCATTTAGAACCTTGTCCACTTCATGCAACAAATTGGGTCATGGACCACTGGCCTCTGCTTCACTCTGACTTGAAGACACCAAAACTGGAGTCATTTGTGCACCCAGGTAGCTCACCTGGAGCTCCTTCTTCATCAAGTGGACAGTCATTCTGTTCCCCCGAGAGGCTTCCGGTTGGATCAAGTCTAGGTGGACAAAATCAAATTGGCCCTGGGCAGTCTTCTGCGCATGGAGAATGTCAAATTCTGTAACTAAATCTCCATTGGCATCAAACATGATCTTGCTCCCATCAGGGGTCTTGAAACGCAACTTCCTGAGGGGATGAAGAAGCTGGGGGAGAGAAGGGCGACAGAGTATGTTGACTGGGGCCAGTCCTAAATGCCTAAGGCCATCAGCCACTGTGATGAGCAGGTAACACTCCAGGCAGAGTCTACTTATATGTTAGGCACAGGAGACACAGGGCCTGTGATATTTCAGGGACTCATGAAAATGTTCTGATGTTAACTTCTTGTATAATCAGAAGAAAAAAATAATGAAAGAATACTGAACATATCATAATGAGCCCTGTCCAGATCATATTCATCTTTATGTCAGGGTAGTGGTAAAATTGAATTTTGTGTTTTTTGTTGTTTTGGTTTTTTTTTTGAGTTGGAGTCTCACTCTTGTCACCCAGGCTGGAGTGCAGTGGCACACTCACAGCCACCACAGCCCCGACCTACTGGGCTCAGTGATCCTTCCACCTCAGTCTTCCAAATAGCTGGAACTACAGACGCACACTACCACACACACCACCACGCCCAATTAGATTTTGTAATTTATTGTAGAGACGAGGTCTCACCAAGTTGCCCAGGCTTGTCTTGAACCCCCAGGCTCAGGCAATCCTCTCACCTTGGTCTCCCAAAGTGCTAGGATTACAGACTGAGCCACTGTGCCCAGCCTAAAGTTGAATTTTTAATACTTGTTCATTGGGGTAAGGAATCCATGAAAGTCACAATGCAGTCCTGGTTGCAGGGACTCTGACTGTACACTCCCATCCTCAGACTTTCTATTGTATCTGAGTGGAGTCCAGACCCTGGCCAGGCCTATACCAATGGCCCCTGTCCATCTAGATATCCTGTTCCCTTAGCTGAGTCTCCCATACTTGCTGTGTCACAGCTATGTGGTTTTCTTGCTCATTCCCATGCTACAACTGCACATAATGTTCCCGCCACCTGCTTTTGCCCTGACTGGCTCCTCATCTTTCAGGCTGGAGCTTAGATATCTCCTCAAAGAGATAACTTCCTTGGACTTCCCATTACCTTCACTCACTCCTATCTCTTCATCCACTCTTACTCTTCTTCGCAGCATACAGCCCAGACATAGTCCTACTCAGGTATTTTAAAAATCTGTCTCTCAGCCAGGCTCAGTGGCTCGTAATTCCAGCAATTTGGGAGGCCGAGGTGAGTGGACTGCCTGAGTCTGCAGGTTTGAGACCAGCCCAGGCAACTTGGCGAGACCTTGTCTCTACAGTAAATTTTAAAATTAGCCAGGCATGGTAGCACATACCTGTAGTTCTGGCTACTTGGAAGGCTGAGGCAGAAGAATCACCTGAGCCCCGCAGGTTGATGCTGGGGTGACCGTGAATGTGTCACTGCACTCCAGCCAGGGCGAGAGAGTGAGACTCCAACTAAAAAAAAAAAATCCATAAATAAATAAATAAATCTGTCTCTCCCACTAAAAACTCAGCAACCATCATTGTCCTGTTCATAGCCATATGTGTCTTTTGTCCTTAGAGTCCCCGACACACAGTAGAGTCCCAGGAAATTTTAGTGAATTTCATGAAAGTAGCCCCTTTCTTGACCTCAGCCCTCCATGATCATCTTGCCAGCCAGCAGTATGTCTCTTGAGAGATCCCTTTTTTACTTTGGGCCTAGGTTTTTCACCTATACCTCAAGTCAGCCAGAGAAGATGCCCTCTTGGCTGCTTCCCTGTCCTACCATTAGAAGAGGCTCTGTGGGCCAGGCGCGGTGGCTCAAGCCTGTAATCCCAGCACTTTGGGAGGCCGAAGCGAGAGGATTGCCTGAGCCCCTGGGTTCGAGACCAGCCTGGGCAACATGGTGAGATCTGGTCTCCACAATAAATAAATAAATAAATAAGCCGGGTGCGGTAGCATGTACCTGTAGTTCTGGCTACTTGGAAGGCTAAGGAGGAAAGATTGCCTGAGCCCAACAGGTCGACGCTGGGGTGGCCGTGAGTGTGCCACTGCACTCCAACCTGGGTGATGGAGTGAGACTCTAACTCAAAACAACAAAAAATAGAAGAGGCTCTGTGGAAATTACATGCTTAGTGATGAAAGTTAAAAATCCAAAAATTTTCAGACAGGCTGCTTGTAATGGGCCAGTTACCTAGCTTTTAAGAGGCCAGAGTACCAATCCTCTTCTGGGTTCTGGAGATATGGTCTGAGAAGACCCCTCCCTCTGAGTCTTCCTCTCAGAATGGCCATGAAGTCTAATGGGATATCACTGCTAGGTACACTGGATAAGAGAACCCCTAGGTCAAGCGTTAAATACATTCAGGTCATTTGGTCGGAGGTAGGTAGAGGCATATCCATGTGGTTAGCAATGATGGGAGAGGTCTCTAAGATATATTAGTATAGAGAATATATTCAGCAGGAATATATTGTCTATAATGCTGAGGGAAGGAGATGGGCAAGGGGACTCTCAAGTGCTCACATTCCTGGAACCATCAGAGAACTGACCAGGAGCACAGCTGGATTCAGCCAAGATGATCACAAGGCTCTTCCAACACAGACATGGGAGGGTCCCACCCTAGGAAGTTGGCATGTGACCTCCTCGGCTAAGTAAAATGAGAATGAGAAAAGCCCCCCCACCCCATGATACGGTTATCTATCAGATAAAATACAGGCTACCCAGTTAAATTTCAACTTCAGAAAAAACAAGTAATTTTTAGTATGTTTCATGCAATAATTAAGACTTACTTACACTAAGAAATCATCCACTGTAACTCTGAAGTTCAAATTTAATCAGGTGTTTTGCATTTTTCTTGGTGAAGTATGGCAACCTTACACACAAATGAAGTGTCCAGCTAGGGGGGGCTGAGGAAATCTTCTGGTTAGCTTCTCCTTGGAAAGGGTTGAGACCACTCCAGAGAGCATCATGGGAAGGCACATGCTTGTGTTCCTTCTGCTGACAGGTTAATGATTGCCTCAGTGGGCTCACTTGTTTATATTGGAGGCCAGAGTTCCAGATGTGCAGAGAACCGTAGAATTAACCCTTCAGTTGGATTTTGTGCAGTAGCTTGAGTTATAATCAAAAGAGAACACAAGTGCTGTAATTCAGCACTTACTACATGCCAGGCTCTGCTCTAAGTGATTTGCATATATTAGTTCATGAATCCCCACAGCAACCCAGTGAGGTAGAGTTAATATTGTCTCTGTTTTACAGACAAAATAACTGGGGTCAAGAGATACAAGCATGACAATTGATGCCTTGATGTTCCCCAGTCACCAGCAACTACTGAAACAGGGTAGCCTTACCGAGGGTAAGGAGAGCAGGGGGCTTGCATGTCTACACGGGTTTCCTTCCATCCGCAAGGATTTTTTAGTGTACAAGGGGCTGTTGCACAATCATCTGACTTAGGGTTCCCTGACATCCCTAGGAGTGGATGAGTATGTTGTCCTTTTGTGAGATGAGTTTTATTGAGACTCATACTAAAAGTAGGGTTGCCAGATAAAATACAGAAGGTCCAGTTAAAGGTGAATTTCAGATAAAAGAATGACTCTTTTTAGTATAAGTATATCCAATGTAATATTTGGGATATACTCACACTAAAAATTATTTGCTATTTTTCTAAAATTCAAGTTTAACTATTTACAACTATTTGCTGACTCATCTGAGGTCACAACTAGTGTGCAGTTTGTACTTCTAGTCTAATTCTCTGGTCAAGATGCCTCGGGGCTATGGTGACGAGTGTCAGGGTTCCTCTGCCTCGTGGGTTACATCAAGCAAGCAAGCATTCCACTGCACCCTTCCTGAATTATCCGTACCACACATTTGCTCTCACCTGCCAGGGCTGGAAGTGCAGTGTGTCTGCACACACCTCATCCCCAAATTCGGCTGCCAGGTCCTGCAGGGCATGAGCAATGCAGTAGACTACTGTGTATGCAATGTCTACCTTACTCACTTCCTGGAAAGGAAACTCTCTGTCTCTCAGGCTCTCATCACCTGAGCAGAGCCGGACTCTTCTCACTGCTGTGCTGTTCCCTGCCAGCACTGGGCTGCTGTGAGGCCACGTGCACTTGAAGGTGACCTCTCAGAACTTCTTCATGAACATGTCTTCAGGGGTCCTGGTGGGGCGCAAGTGAGAGAGGAACTCGGGGAAGCTGGGCACATGGCTGCTGTGCTGAAGAAGGCTGAAGGAGCCCTGTAGTACCTGAGACACGCCCGGCACGGTCAGGGCCAGCGCCACATGCAGGGTGTCCTGGCTGACCCAGACCTGGCCCAGGATGCCACGGCCCAGCAGGCCCTGCAGGATGAACTGGAAGTTCAAGTTGTTGAGGAAGACCAGGGTGATGGTGGCGGTGCAGTTCTCCATCTGTGGGATAATGGCTTTGATCTTCTTCGGAGACAGCCGGGAGGGGATATGGTGATGGAACTCGATGCAGACTCCTGCCTGGCCCAGTGCCCCGAGCACCAGGGAACTGCTCTGCTGCCCAAAGTCGTCATCCTGCGCCAGAACACCCACCCAGGACCACTGGAAGTGGAGCACCAGCTGGGCCAGTGCCTGAGAGGATGTGAGGTCGCTGGGCAGGGTCCAAAGGAAGGATGGGAACTGGGTCTTGTCTGAGGCTGGCAGGGTGGACGAGTAACTGACCTGTGAGGGAAGGGGCTGGGTGAGAGAGGGGTGAGAACTCGCACTCAGGCTTGAGCTGGTCATCAGGTGTAACCAGGGAAGGCAGGTGTGGTGAGAACAGGGTTGTGCTCCTCATGGCCACTGATCCTGGGTTGCCCTGGCTAGGCTTCCCAGTTTTGTCACTGAAAGTCCTGCAACCATGAACAAGTCCTGGGCAAGCAGTGATGGCTGACCAGTTAGATCAGAGCAGGAACGCAATCATCTTTTAAGAAACAGAGAGGCTTTTGGGTTGCTGAGCACAGAGCATCTCTGGGGTTCAGTGAGATCTTGTTAAGATGCAGGGACTGATTTGGGAGGCCCAGGGTGTTCTAACATTTTTCCATATGATATTATTTTCTGGTCTATGCTTTCGAGTAAAACATACTAAGCCCACCATGAAACCATCTAAATAACATTTTTTAAAACAGACACTTGAAAAAAACAAAAGAAAAAAAAAAAGCAGACACTTGAGTCAGTCTTACCATCATTCTGTTCCCTCATTCACAAGTCAGATAAATCTGGGTCATGAGTTTATTCCCATTGTAGGAGAGTTTGCAGGAGAGATTTTGGAAATGATGCTCTGAGGATTTTGAAGGTTCCACTGAGGTGCCTGAGTGGGTTCACCTGTGGCTAGACTGGTTAAGCCCAAACACATCCCTTGTTTCGTTCTTGGAATGAAACCCAGGGAACAACTGAACTTTACCTTCATTCCTCTCAGTGCCCCTTTCTTTGGCTACCTCATACCGTGTCTTGTGTTTCTGCTTCTTGACCAGGCTGGGTTCTCATTCTCACTCTGGTCTGTGCAACGCTGACGGGTCCTTGGAACCTACTCTTGTGGTCCCATCATTTTGTGATCTTTACGGTGTGAGGGATGACAGGGAATCTGGTGTGTCCATTTTTGCCTGTGTGTCTGTTTGTCAACAAAGAGACAGTTCCACATGCCCCAGAAGACAGAGGAGCTCTTTGAAATCTGGGCCAACGGGGTTGGCGTCTGTGTTTGATTTGGCCCATGGCTGAGACACAGAATGAAACTGCAGTCTCTGGGTGTCTGTGATGAATAGGCCTTTAACACTCCTTGTCTGAGTGCAAAACACTCTCTGACCACCAGAGGGTAGTGGTGAATTAGGTTATATAAGGGTCATACCTGCTCAGGGAAAGTTGCTCTGGTCTGATATGTTTATATAGACCAATAAGGCTGACCCAGTCTCAGAGAGTAGAGTTGCCAGATTTTGAAAATCAACATACGGCCGGGCTCAGTAACTTAGCCTGTAATCCCACCACTTTGTCAGGTTAAAGCGAGTGGATTGCAACTCAAAAATAAATAAAATAAAATAAAAATACAGGGTATTCAGGTAAATTTTAATTTCAGATAAACAATAAATAATATTTTAGTGTAAGTATGTCCTCTGCAATATTTGAGACAAATGTTTTGCTTTTTTTTTTTTTCAGTTGGAGTCTCACTTCGTCGCCTAGTCTGGAGGGCAGTGGCATGCTCCTGGCCACTGCAACCTCTACCTGCTGGGTTCAGGCGATCCTTCCGCCTCAGACTTCCAAGAAGCCAGAACCGCAGGCCCGCGCTACCACACCCAGTTAATTTTTTTGATTTACTGCAGAGATGAGGTCTCACCAAGTTACCCAGGCAGGTCTCGAACCCCTGGGCTCAGGCAATCCTCTTGCCTCCGCCTCCCAAAGTGCTAGGATTACAGATATGAGCCACCGTGCCCATTTTCCAGCTCTCTTTTTTTTTTTTTTTTTGAGTTGGAGTCTCACTCTGTCGCCCAGACTGGAGGGCAGTGACTGCTCCCGGCCACCGCAGCCTCAACCTGCTGGGCTCCGGCAATCCTTCTGCCTCAGCCTTCCAAGTAGCTGGAATTACAGGCGCGCGCTACCACGCCCGGCTAATTTTTGATTTATTGTAGAGATGAGGTCTCGCCAAGTTGCCCAGGTCCAGTTCTCTTAAAGCAAAGTTACGGCAGGAGAACGGTGTCAGCAGCACAGCATCTTGACATGACCACCGTGGTGGTTGTCACCCCAATGACTGTTGGTTAAGGGGATGACTCACCTGGGGAAATCTGTAGCGCCCCAGAAGCTGGGCCATGGGCATGGACACGGCTGATCGTGTGTCTCCCACCACAGCAGCCCGAGGCAGGCTGAGCCCACACATGTAGTTGAGAATGGGCTCCTCTTGCCCCATGAGGAAGCTCATGGCCTCGTGGAGGGCGCCAGGTACCGAGTTCCCTGAGTTCCAGATGGAGAAGCCCAGTGTGAGATTGGGCAGCAGCCGGGCATCCCTGTTGATCTCCTCCATGGCAAATACGAACCCCTGGGCCACCCAATAGCCCCATGGGGAGACACTGAGGGAAAGAAAAGCCTGTGCTGACCAGCTGCAGTGGGTGCAGTGCAGTCAGTGACTCATAGGCTTGTGTGTTAAGAGAGGTGGCAGCTGCATCCCCAAAGCACCTGTGAAGGGGTACGCAGTGTGGCCAGAATGGGGTTAGGAGGATGGGAAGGTATTGGTCCAAGGGAGTTATACTTTTCAGCTAGACAGGAGGAATAGGTTTCATGGCACCCTCAGTTACCAATAATTGATGTGCATTTCAAAATTACTAAAAGGGCAGGCTTTAAATGTTTTTTGCGGGTGTGGTGGCATGCGTCTGTAGTCCCAGTTACTCAGGAGGAGGGAGAATCACTTGAGCTCAGGAGGTCAAGGCTGCAGTGAGCCATGATCATGCCACTACACTCTAACCTGGGTAACAGAGGGAGACCCTGACTCAAAAAAAGGAAGAAAACAGAAAAAGAAAGGAAGGAAGGAAGGAAAGAAAGAAGGAAAGGAAGGAAGAAAGGAAGGAAGGAAGGCAGAAGGAAGGAAGGAAGGAAGGAAGGAAGAAAAAGAGGCCAGACTCGGCTCAGCCTGTAACCTCAGCACTTTGGGAGGCAGAGGCGAGTGGATTGCCTGAGCCCACGGACTCGAGACCCGCCCGGGCAACTTGGTGAGACCTCATCTCTACAATAAAATTTTTTAAAAATTAGCCAGGCGTGGTAGCTT